GCCGAAGCTCGCACTCAGTCTGGTACAGCGCCGCGTGGACAGCTTATGGAGGGAGCTCCATGTTGCGAGTAGAGTTGAGAAGGTCGAGGGCTTGTGCAAGAAGTTGCTGGAGTGTCTGAGGATCTGGTCAGAGCAGTCGGGTGCCCGCTTCGACGTATTCGACCCCAAGCTGATAAGCACAGGCGGCACGGACGCCGAGATAGCGGACTTCTTTGTGAAGCACGTCTTCACGACAGGCATCGGGCATTGGATCAGCCAGGGAGCGGCGATGGAGATGCACGTGCAGGAGTTCGCCCTCGTTGCTGGTACGATGTGGTCCGACCTTCCCGAGGACGCAGATTTGGGTCACTATTGCGCATTGGTATTGCTGGACGCGCGTGCGGCGATGAGGATCAGCAGGAGCTTCTTAGTCGCGGCCATCGACGACACCACTGACATCGAGATCTTTCAGGAGTACCCTCGCTTTGAGCAGGAGGCGTTGCGCACCACGGGCTACGCCACGCCGGCGCAGGCTCTCGGTCAAGCTTTGAATGCTACCTCTGGCTCGTATTGGAGGCAGCAGTTCGAACGGCTGAAGGCTGATTCCGACAAGATCCAAGAGTTGGGGCCCAGCATCGCCGACGCGATCAGCAAGGTCATGAAGCAGCCCGCCCAGATTTCCCAGGCCACCATCAAGGAGCTCAGAGGCGTGTGCGAGAAGATCCCCTACTGGGAGCAGCAGGTGAACGACCGGATCTGCATCAAGCTGCGCGCTGGCATCATCAAGAAGGTTTCGTGGATGGCCGAAGAGCTGCTGAACAAGAAGAGGAAGCTCGAGCAGAAGGACTCCTGCACGGAGGAAGACGAGAGGACCGTTCTGATGCATGGCATGAAGGATCTCCTCAGGCACGTGGCCACTATCGACCCGCTCAGCGAGGAGATCGCTCGGTGGGCCTCCAAGCTCGCCGACGCCTTGCAGGACATGGACAAGGGCGTGAAGATGGGGATGGTATCCGAGGCCATCTTGGCTTGGACGCCCACGATGGCAGAGCATACCCATCGGCTGCGCGACGCCATCGGGGCTTGCAAGCCAGACTCCGTGTCGGGGAAGGTCGAGAACGATGCCTACAAGTTGTTGCAGAGCATTGCGAACGATTTTGGGCAGAAGGCCAACTTCGGCAATGGCACCGAAGCTCACATCTACGACGCGGTCGAGATGCTCGCAGAGATTTGCCCGAAGGACTTCAAGCGCGACGCCGAGGCGTTCAGCGCCTGGCTGAAGTCGGCCTGGAGGCTCGAGTGCGTAACGGAATCCGTGAGGGCGAAGGTGCCAGACAGCCAGGGCAACCACAACGACTTGGACAAGCTGGCGAGGGAGTTGAGCCAGGCCCTTCAGCGCGTGCTGGAGAAGAACATGCCCAGCGGCTTGGTGGCCAAGTTTTCCTCGACCCTCAGCGAACGCGAGGAGAGCACGCGTAAGACGGCGAAGGAGTTGGTCATGGAGATCGGCGAGAAGGTGGGGGACCATTTCTACGACGGGGTGCAGACGAAAAGCCAGAAGCTCCACGCCGAGATCGACCAGGACGCCTGGGCAAAGGCTTGGGTTACCGGCGAGGCTGGAGTTGAGGAGCTGGCGCTTCTGCTCGAAGTGGGGGCCCACGACCGCAACTCTTCGTTGGCCGTGCACTGGGGTGACTTGGCGGACAGCCTCCAGTCGGAGTTCGCGACGCTCTTGCAGAAGACGGTGGACTTCGAGCTCGCACCGAAGGCTGATATCGAGACGACGCTCCCTGAGTTGATCCGCGCTGCCCGCGTGCTGCACCTCGAGCACAGCCTCATCGGCCACTTCACCAACGAGGCGACGAAGCGTGACAAGATCTTGCTGCGGGCCAGGATGAGGGACATCCAGGGCTGCCTCAAGGAGTGGTCGTTGACGCCAGAGGACTTCCCCACGGCGCTGATCGCGCGCTACCGCGCGGGCCTGCGCATGACGTAAGCTGACGGAGTCAGCCGCCTCCGCCTGCCCCCAGCGCCGAGCCGAAGTGGAGGGGTGGTTCAACTGCCTCTGGAATGGCTTCTAAAGCAACCCCAGAACCCCTGGAGTTTTTGTTATCCACTCTAGGGCCTCTGGATTCTTAACTTGTGTTCGGGATCTTGGAGATTGAGTTTCCATTTGCATTCCAGGGCCTCGGGAGAAACAAAGAAAGACAATGGGATAGCATGTGTTACTCCTCTGCTGTAATTCGTGTTTTCGTTGAGTGAGGCCGCACGTCGTGCGGCAGCTGGATGCTCGTGTGGGATGGGTCAGGGGGCTCAAGTATGTCTCCCATTCTCCCCTCCTTACCGTCGTTCCTCGCATGATCCCCCCATTTCCTCCGCAACTCTGCCCAGCCTTCGTGCTCGATTTTGGCCGCCCCCGACCCAGTCCCCATCCTAGTGCCGCTTGGAGATTTCTAGAAGTGCTTCAGATGAGGGCTGAAGCACTCGAAGTTCGCAGCTCTCTTCGACGCTCGTGGTGCCAGCACTCCACGCTCTGCTCTGGGCGAAGACGATGTCTATCCTCCCGCTCTTCCTCCCCCGCGCCCCCCCCTCCGATCCCCCCTCTCCGCAAAGTGGGCCCAAGACGGCTCCAAGATGGCACAAAAGAGGCCCGCGGAAGTCCCGAGGCGGCCCCAATCTTCCTCCCCCCCCTCCTCCTCCTCCTACTCCCACTCCTCCTACTCCCCTCTCCCGCCTCCTCCCCCCGCCTCTGCCCCCCCCCCACTTCCCTCCTCCTCTTCCTCCTAGATGGCGCCGAGAAGGTTTCGCGAGGTCATCGCCAGGGCTCGATTTGAACAGCACTCAAAATGATCTTCTCCTATGCTTCAAGATGGCCCCAAGACGGCTCCGAGTTAGCGCCGAGAGAGCCCGAGATGGGCCCGAAACGGCTGGCCTCAAGGAATTATACAGTTTGTTGGGGGCCGAGGCGGCGAACGCACCAATCGTTGAGCCATGCGCCGTGTGTTGGCAGGCAGCCCGAACGTCTTCAAGGGAAGCGCTTCCGAAGAGAGGGGCGAGGATGCTAGGCTCCAAGCCTTCATCGGAGCGATAGCCATTGGCGATCTGGTGAAGTCCACGTTGGGTCCAAGGGGCGCGGGCAAGATTGTGGTGCCAATGCTCGGGGGGGGGGGGTCCCAAGGAAATGCGACTGTGACGAATGACGGCGCAACCATCTTGAAATCTTGGTGGATCGATATCCCTGCAGCGAAGATTTTGGTGGACATATCTAAGACCCAGGGCGCAGAGTGCGGGGGGAGGGACTCCCCCCCCTCCTCCTCCCTCCCCCGCCTCACCCCCGCCCGCCCCCGCCCCCTCCTCCCTCTTCCTTCCTCCCCTTCCTCCTCCTCTTCCTCCCTCCTCCTCCTCCTCCTCCTCCTCCTCCCCCTCCCCCCTCTCTTCCTCGCCCCTCCGCGCTTGCTTGCTTGCTCTCTCCGCCGCCCCCGCCGCCCCCGCCGCCGCCCTCGACGAAGCAGGCGCGCCCCGCCCGCGCCGCCTCCCGCAAGAGGGGGGGGGGGGGGGGCGGGGAGGGAGCGGGGGCGGGCAGAGAGGAAAGGCAAGGGGGAAGGTGAGAGAGGGGAGGGGGAGGACGAGGGCGAGGGGGCGGAGCACGAGGACGACGGGGCGGAGAAGGACGGGAGGAATGAGGAGGAAGGAGGAACGAGGAGAGGATTTTTGTCGCGGAAGCATTTCTGGCGACACGTTGGGCCCTAGAAGGGCTGTGTTGCAAGATGCGCATAAGCGCGAATCGCGTTTCCCACATTGTGAGTGCCCGTCATAGGCGCACGGTGCGAGTCTCGTTTGTTTGTTTTTTTTTTCTATTTTTTTTTTTTTTTTTTTTTTCTTTTTTTTTGTGTCTTTTTTTTTGTTTTTTTCGTTGTTTCTTCTTTGTTTTTTTTTATCGGTGCGAGCTTGTCAGACCCCTCCCAACAAAAACACATCAGCCGTTCGTGTTTCCCCCTTCTCCACCACCCCTCCCCTTCCCCGCCCCTGTGGCGTTGTCGTTCAGTTGGCGGGCGCGCCGATGTTGCGGCCGCCCCAAGAGACAAACCCCAGGGTCTCGGACTGCCCACCACATACACGTCGCCATTGCGTGGGTTTTTTTTTTTTTTTTTTTTCTTTTTTTTTTTTTTTTTTTTTTTTTTTTTTTATTTTTTTTTTTTTTTTTTTTTTTTTTTTTTTTATTTTTTTTTTTTTTTTTTTTTTTTTTTTTTTTTTTTTTTTTTTTTTTTTTTTTTTTTTTTTTTTTTTTTTTTTTTATTTTTTTTTTTTTTTTTTTTTTTTTTTTTTTTTTTTTTTTTTTTTTTTTTTTTTTATTCTTTTTTTTTTTTTTGTTTTTTTATTTTTTTTTTTTTTTTTTTTTTATTTTTTTTTTTTTTTTTTTTTTTTTTTTTTTTTTTTTTTCTTGTTTTTTTTTGTTTTTTTTTTTTTTTTTTTTTTTTTTTTTTTTTTGTTTTTTTTTTTTTTTTTTTTTTTTTTTTTTTTTTTTTTTTTTTTTTTTTTTTTTTTTTTTTTTTTTTTTTTTTTTTTTTTTTTTTTTTTAATTTTTTTTTTTTTTTTTTAGCGTCGCGTTACATGGAACGTTATGCCATAGGTGGCTGCGAGCGCCGCCCCAATAGCACAAAACGTGGACGCATTTCCAGGCGTGCATGGTCGCGAAACAGAACGCGGTGGAACCGCCAGATCTTCCGGCGTTCGAAAGGGCGCAACTCACCGCAGTTGCTGGGAACGCCACGTCAGTGGCCACACATATGCGGCTGCTCCCGTCTCGCTCACATCCTAAAGCTTGGCCGTGCAATCGTATAAACATGTTAGCCCTGCCGCGATATGGCTTGACGCAGGCCGATAATCGATCCCTCGTTGCGATGATGCGAGTAAGCCCAACACGCAATAATGGTTTGCGGCTGGGTGATCAGGGCCATTCGAGAAAATGCGATTTGCATTTTTGCTGAAGTTTCGACGATTAAATTCGAACACATAAACAAATGGCCGCGGATAATTTTCTGACGATTCTCAGCGGTTTGCACCCCGTAGAGACCAAGCGGGTCATCGAGAATATAAGCCTAGACCTTCTTCCATGGAGTTCCTCGGTCTGCACCCTGAGCTGTCCCACGGGCGAGGTCATCGCCCTGCTCCGCGAGAAGGGCGCGATCTACATTGAGGAGGGCGATGCAGAGTTCCTGCGCGATCGCAGGCACCAGGCGACGCGCGCCGTCATAGACGAGCGCACGAGCACTCTGGCTGCTGGACTCCGTCGTCGCGAGCTGCTTCAGGAGCAAATGGAGGGCGGGCACATCAGCGTTCGACCTGACTGCCCAGGCTGTCGCGGAGCCCACGGCCGCCTTCGCGCCCATCGTCGTTTCGACGTCTCCACGAGGCCTGGGGGCCAGCTCAGTATCGACACGTCTGGGCCGCACCTCCCCGGACGGTGGCCCTCCAGCCGCCCCGAGAACTCGGCCAAGCAAGCCGTTCACTTCCTCCTGGGGGCCCACGTCGTCGAGACTCCGGCTGCTAAGAAGGACCGCGAGCGCTTGGAGTCGATCGCGAAGGAGAACGCGTTTGCGGGCCCTCCGACTCCCAAGCCCGAGCCCACCGTGCCCGCGGAGTCCGACATCGGCGGCGCCCCTCGGCTCGACGCTGCGGTCGTGGGCGACTCCGTCGGGCAGGATGCCGAATTGGCGATGAAGGTGGTGGCCATGTTCGGCGTGAATTCCCTCAGGGACCTGGAGCTGCGGACGAACCATGTCGGGCTGAGCGTCTGCGTGCCCAACTCCGGTCCCTCGGCGCGGCCCGGCAGGCCGAAGCGCGAGCCCCCCCAGGAACAGGGGGAGGAGGAGTCTCCAGGCGGCGACCCCAGCATTGCGGCCGACGCAGAGGTCGAGGACGAGAGCGGCACGATCTCCAAGACATGGTACTTCTGTGTGCCGCTGGAGAACCTCAAGGCCGCCAGTTGCATTCGCGCCATCGAATCTATCCTCGCCCATCATCGCTCCGTGCAGCATTCTGCGTACTGCTCCAGGATGCACGCACAGGATAGACCAGTGAAGTGCCCCGCTTTCGGTGCGAAGGTCTGCGCTCGCATCGAGGATGTCCCCTCGTCCATGTGGGCGGAGCTGGCGCGCGACGCCGGGCGGAAGGACCTCGCCGCGAAGCGACCTGTGCAGCGGTGGGTCATCGAGTCCTCGTCGTCCTTCGCATTGGTGCCTGAAGACCCCAGCTGTGCTCAAGACGTTCGCGGTGAGGATCCAGGAGCAGGAGAAGCTCCACCAGATAGCGTTGCACAGGCGCCACCTGTTGAATCGACCGGCGCTGGATTTCCGGAAGGTGCACTTCACGTTGACCACGGCCTCGGAGGATCATCGGGCGACCATCTTCGACGACCTGCCCGCGCAGACGGTGGCCGAGATGTGCTCGAGGAGGTGGTGCCGAAGGACATCACTTGCCCCGCGCGCCGCGGGCCCCACCGCGCGCGCGCCCGAGATGCGCATTGCGCGCGCGGGCCCCTCCTGAGCGACGATGGCGAGCAACCTTTCGATCGCGGAGCTCTTGGTGGCGGATTCTCCTGCCCGGCCTGCCGCGGACGACGCGTCAAGCACACCAGGGGCCACAGGTGCAGGCTGGGGTCAGGAGGAGCCAATTCGCAACGCGCTGCGCTTGCAGGTTTTGGTCTTCGTGACGGTTCCGATCCTCGGCTTCCGCTTCCCACGCGTGACTACTTCGACTCCATTCCCGTGGCTTTCGCCACCGCGGTCCTGGGGCAGGCCACCCTCGCCGCGGACGACGACAACGCGCCTCCCGAGTTCACCAAGATTGTGAAGGACAGCGGGCTGAGCATCGTCACGCGCGCAGAGATCGCGAAGACGAGCGGGATGACCAGGGGGAAGTGGCGAGCGGCACTCGAGAGCGAGCTCAACAGCCTGGAGGACGTTTGTCTTCGTCCCCTCACGGCCTCGGCGGCGCACTCAGTGAAGCCCTCCGAGATATTGCCCATGAAGGTGGTCGCGGGGCAGAAGGCTCCAGACGCTTCGGGCTATCGGCGCTTCAAGGCGCGCGGCTGCGTGCGCGGCAACTTCGAGGCGGTGGGCCCCGCGGGGCAGACCTTCACGCAGAACTTGGACATTGCCAGCCTCCGCGTGGCGCTCGCCGTGCGTGCGCGCCGTCGTTGGAGTGCGTCGGCCCTCGACGTCTCTACCGCGTTTCTGCACGCGTTCCTCCCCGTGGGCAAGAAGCGAGTGGTCATTCGCCCACCGGCCATCTTCGTCAAGTTCGGGCCGGTGCCGGCGGGCGAGCTCTGGGCGGCCGAGAGGGCCATCTACGGCCTTAGGTGCTCACCGAAGGCTTGGGGCGATCTGCGCGACGCGGCGCTCCGCAAGCTGACGTTCACCGTCGGCGCGCTCCACTGCCGCGTCGAGCAGTCTGCGGTCGATAGCTCGGTCTGGCTCGTCAAAGCCGACGGGGTGGACGACGTCCAGGGCTATGCGCTGAGCTACGTGGGCGACTTCTTGTTCATGGGCCCCGAGGACGTGGCGAGGGCCCTGCAGACCTCCATCGGCGCGCTCTGGACCACGAGTTCCCAGAAGATCATCTCCCCGGACCGTCCGGGAACCATCCGGTACTTGTCCATCGACATCGGCACCGACGCCCACCGACTGACGTTGCGCCAGCACGAGTACGTTAACGACATGTTGATGAAGTGGAACATGGCGCAGTGCAACGGCAGCCAGTCGATCAACCCCGACGACGAGAACTACTTGCCCTTCGCGCCCGAGGACGACGAGGGGAAGCATGGCCCTGATGCTGTGCGCGGCGCGCAACGGATGGCAGGTGGGTTCCTTCTTGCTTTCGAGCCGCAATCTGCCAGACCTGTCCTACAGCGTCTCGCGGATCTCCAGCCATGCGACTCGGAGGCCGCGTATGTCCCTCGTTCTGGGCAAGAAGGTCTTGCGGTACTTGGCGGCTACCCGCCAGTTGGCGCTAGTTTACGTGCTGAGCACCCCCCGCGAGCTGCAGGACCTCATCTGTCAGCTGGACGCGTTCGCGGATGCCCGCCACGGCGACGCGGGTGCGCAGACAGGCGTCGCATGTTGCATGTACGAGCGCATGCTGGTAGACTGGCGCAGCTTGAGGCAGCAGCTGGTCTGCTTCTCGACGGCCGAGGCGGAGACGAACGGCCTCGCCCTCAGCTGCTAGGTGCTCTACGGCCGGGAGGCGGTCGCCCACTCCATGGGGCTGGAGACGACCGCGGCCCTCCACGGCGACAACCAAGCGGCGAACCGCATCGCCGAGGGTCGCGGCAGTTGGAGGACGAGGGGCCTAATGACTAAGGACAACGCCATCCGGAGCCGAGTCGAGCGCGGCATGCTGGAGCTGATCTACGTGGAGACAGCTTTGATGCGCGCCGACGGGCTCACTAAGAGCAGGGGGCCCGACCACGTGGCGCAGGTGAGGGCCCACCTTGGCCTGTGGGGCCGCTGAGTGCGCGCAGCACCAGAGCACCCGAGGGCCCCCTACATCCCGATCGAGCTGATGCACGTCCCACTGCACAGGACTCCGAAGGAGGAGCGTGTGTAGGGGGGCCCTCTTGCCACGTGAATCAGGGAGCGTAGCATTAGCGTCAGCAGCAGCATGTGTACGCTGAGTCCCGGGTGCGCGATTTGAGCCCAAATCCCGGGCCTGCGCCGACGACCGTTTAGATTGCCACGCAGTGTTCTTGTAGTTGTGACTTGCGGTGCGTGAGGCATAGTACAGTCGCTTTCTACATGGTAGTCTAGAGGCCACGTCAGGCCAAAATCCCCGGCGGTTGTCTAGAGGCCACGTCAGGCCAAAATCCCCGGCGGCATGTTCCCCGCCAGGTTTTGCTCCCAGAACGTTCTGGGGAGGCCTCGCCGGAACGTTCTGTGCACTGTTCGGCCGGCGACTCAGAGTTGGGCCCGACCAATCCGTGTGCATGCCCCGGGGAGATGCGGTGACGTTAACCTGGCCGGCCTCCCATCGGCCACGCGGCCGGGACACGATAGTTTGCACCTGGAAACATTTCTTCGCTGTGTCGCAGCATTTGCGAGCCGGATTTGCGCCTCAAGATCTTTGGGGGCTTAGCGGCAACGCCGCCTCCAGGGATGGGTTGCAATGTATTTTGCACTCTAGGTCAGCAGCTTCAGGCCGACTTTCGCCGTAACGGTGCACCTTGGCTCAAGATGGGCGAGGGGAAAAAGGGAGTCGTCAAGGCGAGGAGCAAGTCTCAGCGGCAACGCAGGCTTGTGACTCGCCGATCGGTCTCCACTGAAACTCTCCTCCGTCTCACATTCAATCTACCTATCTCCCCTAAGCTGTCCCATCCTCTACCTGTCCGGCCTGCGGAAGCCCCGGAAGCCGTCCGTCTTCTTCGGGAGGGGTTTTGTCTTCCTCGTCCTCCCTTTCATTATACCTATCTCCCCTGTAAGCTGTCCCATTACGCTACCTGTCCGGCCTGCGGGGATAGCCGCTCCGCGTCTTCTTCGGGAGCTGGCGGCTGGAACGCCGATTAACGAGTTGACATCAGAAGAGCTATAAGCAGAAGGTAAGACGGAACCTCATTACAGACTCCCTGACCTCATCCCCCTCAATATTGTCATCATGTTCCCACATGGCTTCCATAGTGGTGCTGGTGGTAATGATTATTACACTGCGTACTCCCTCGTCGGACCTGATGGCAGACTCCGGCGCGAGGCGCAACGGCTCCCCCCCCCTGCGCACCACACGCACACGCACACACACACACACACACACACACACACACACACGCACACGCACACACGCACACGCACGCGCAGACTAACGCGGATGGAAGCAGCCATGCTGGACCCGAACGCCCTTCTTCCGACCCAGGAAGAAGCCGCGATAGCTCTTCCCCCTTCCCTGCCCCCGCCCTCTTCCACCGCGCCGACCCGCTCCACCGCCGCGCCGGATTCGAAGCGACCTACGACTGCCAACGCGACCTTCCGCCAGTACGTCAGCCACTGCAATGCTGGCACAACCGTCCGAGAGTTGGCCCCCGCAGCGCAAACCCACGTGGACTCGATGGACAGGATCTCTTTCTCTCTCTCTCTCTCTCTCTCTCTCAAGCGAGCAGACGGTCCTTGCATCGAAGACCTGACGCAAGGCACGCCCTTCGACGAGGGAGCTGGCCCCAACGCGCCTGCCAAACGCCGAGGTCTTTAGAGGCCACCATGCGACTGCAGCGACTGGCCCACTTCGCCTGGAAGGGTCACCCTGAGGGGCATTCCATCTTGGCGCAAGCTGGAACAGTAGCTGAATGTCGTCAACGCGAGCTTCTCACAGCCTGCGCCACCGATTGCGACCACTGGCCCAACATCCTCGCGAGCATGGACCTCGCTCACCTTGCCCGGGCGCTAAACGAGGAAGATTCCGAAGGAAAACTGGGGGGCGTCACGCCGCGCCCAGCACAGTTACTCGCCATGCGTCTTGCCACTGCGCGCCACATCAGCAACGGCGATCAATGCCCACGCCTTGACAACGACGAAATCATTCAGAGTGCGCACCAACAGAGAGCACGCCAACAGAGAGATGTGTCGCCAACAGAGAGTACACCAACATGTGCCGCGCATCGAAATACTGCGGCATCGGCAGCAATGCATGTGTTAATCGAGACCGAGGGGGCGATCGAGCGGACCACTCCCCTCGAGCGACCGCCCCCGGTCTCCTACTTAAGCCGCATTCTCAACAGAGCAGCGAAGGGCCCCCCCCACCGGGCCAGGCGCTGCAGCTACTGATCCACGAAAGGGGACAGGCCATTATCCATTTCCCTCCGCACAACGAGCTTCTCGCCTGGGCCTGCCACCACCGCTCCCGCGGTGGCCCCGCCAACGGAGTGCTATCCAGCGCCTTCGACCGCGCAATCACAGCCGACACTCAGCGAGCCATCCAGCAACCGACATGGCTCGTCGACGATTGCGCAGTTCCAGCACCGGGCATCAGCCCCCCGCCGCTACAGGACTCCGACTACAAGCAAATCATGCCTTGGGTCGACATTGCAACCTTTCCGCAGTTTGGCAGACGTTCCACACCAAACGAACGATGCCTGTTCCGTTGTTCTTAGTGCCTGAGGGTGCCAGACCTTGTTGCAGGATCATGTCCGCTGTGCGCGAGATTCTCAACCCCCTGGTAGTCAGACGAACTCGAAGGCGCGAGCCCGCCCTTCCTACCAATCGACTTGCTCACCAACGAAATCCCCCTCCCTCTTGCTCACGCAGCTCAGCGGTTTGCTCCCTTCACCTGCCACCTCTACCAGGACCTCCACAACGCCGCTGACTACTCCCCAACATGGTTAGTCTGCGAGTTATTGTGAGCATGGGCGGACCTCACCAGTGGCGCCGGATCAGCGCCTGCTGACCGTGCTTCGACTGAGAGCCACCTCCGCTTTGCCGCAGACACTCGCCTTTCTCTGCGCAGCGAGCACTGAGTGGGCCACCGACGCGTGTGGCGAGATGCACAACCAAATCTCGCAAGGCAGGCTGCACGGACAGCTCGCCGGTTGGCTCCCCGCAGCACTCACGTCGCTTCACGCGCAGGCCACACTCGCACCAACCATAGGCTGGAGCGCAGGAACGCGCAGCCAGCCTGCTCAACAAAGCTCCTCTGCCTACCGTCACTTGACCCAGCTTGGACTTCAAACATCTGAGATCGCATGGCTTCAACAACACATTGGGATGTTCGTCACGGACCAGGTTGAGTCCAACGATCAGCAGCATGTCCAACGATTGCGCAACGATCGCGGCATGACCACCACCGAACGGGCACGGGCCACTCAGGCACTGGTTGGATACGCCAATCTATCGCTCGGTGAGCACCAAGACCTGGCGCTCCTACTCAACGACGACGAGCCCATCGGGAGATACAGAGGTACATTGAGCGCCCAATCGTTCGGCGCTGGAGGAGCATGACCACACCAGCTGCACAGGGTAACGCACGCGTCGGCACCGCCATGGGAATCACAGAGGCAGCTCGTAGCGAAGCTCCACCCATGCAGGTAATCACTGTCATGCTCATGGGACGTGAGGAAAGGAGGCGCCTCCAGGATTTCGAATTCGAAATACAGGAAGTACGCGAGCGCATTGCCTCATCCATTCTCCCCATCATGTACAAGTGGGATATCATTCTTGTCGCCTTCACCTGCGACTGAAGCTGGACGCGCGCGCTTGCTTGATTTGTTTGGACGCCACCAATTCGGCGCCAGAGCAATCAACGCAGCGGAAGCCTACTGGAGAGAGGCGTCGGTTGATTATATCGAGCTTGCTTGCGCCATGAATGATGGAGGGGATAGTCATGGGCACCGAGCCGAGACAGGATGGCCCACCCCCACGCCACGGCCATACATCGACCGCACGCTACAACAGTTGATGGCGCAAAAGCTCGACGCTCAATGAAATCTGCAGTACTCAGTCATCTACGGAGACTCAGACAGAAGCCCCGAGGCCAGTCAAGCTGCGTCCAGAACGGCACGGCAACAATTCACATACGTGGGAGGAGCAGATGCCTATGGGACAAGAACGGGCGACACAGGAAGACATTGGCAGGATGAACCAGTGGCGAGACCCCGACCTAGCCGTTCAAATCTCAGTTCTGCTAGAACGCATGCACATTGCCGAAAGACTTGACGAACGCTGTGGATGGCGACAAGCTCAGCCGCCGCTGGACACCACCTCAATCGACACAACCAAAGCGATTCGACTGCGGGAATGGCTCTGGGGCGCCACTACCAAAACTGACTGTGTTGACAGGTGGCTTCCTGGGGCAATATGGCTATGCCTCAGACCACGCTTTAGAAACTCCCTCTGCCCCCTGCTAATGGCACGGAGGATCGACGCTGCCCCATCCAAATGGCTCATCCTGCGTGGCGTCCACACGCCTCTGCAATTACAGCGGCTCCTGGAGCTCGTCGCCGGGGCGCGGGCCGAGGATTTCCAGGCCTACGACCCTTTCACCCCGACTAGCTTAGCCCCCCTCTTCCACCGCATGAGCCATGTGGCTGCCACAAGCGGCGGATCCGCCACCAGAGACGACTTTGTGCTCAGGCAGGCATGCGCTGAATGTATATTGCGGTCGACTGAGCCAGCGCGCCCCGCGCGCAGTCGTACTTCTCCGCAGAGTGAAACTGGAGACACACCTGAGTGTGCTATCTGCTGGTCAGCCCTCGATGCTACCACGACTGCGATCATTCCGTGTTGTCGCCTATGCCAAACTGCCTGCGTGGCCGCATGGAGACTACAACAACCGGGCGCCTTCAGTCTCGCCGACCCCGGGAGGGGGCAAAACACTCATCCGAGGTGCCCACACTGCAGAGAACCCGACCTTGGGGACGTCGCCGTTCAAGCACCGGGGCCTCAAAGCACGAATTGCACAGCGCAGTGACGGCGCCCCAAGATCCTCGATCTCCAGGGACGAGC